TAGCACATGTTTTTGGAATCGGTCTACTTATTGTAGAATAGTTGGCTTTAGGACTTTGGGACACAACCACACAGCTTCGATCTTAACAAGGGGCTGTCCTTGCGTGCCTGGCACATTGGTTCCAGCTCCTGCCGGGGCTTTGTTGCATCACCGGCTGAGAGTTTCTGCCTCAGGACTATCATGCTACAGGAACGTAGGTATTAGTATGCATATTCCACGGGCAATCAAGTGCTCCAATACAGAAGTACGTCGGCGTGGAGGGCATGGAACAGCTTTGATCGTTCTGGAGCACATACCATATTCAGCAACACAGACCTGCTCTGCTCATGGACTCATGAACGGCATTCACAGGAAGCCCGACCTCCACCAGCATTACGACTGCAGGCGGCAGTGGCCGTCCGATCCTTATACGGCCAGGCGACCACAACTGGGTGCTTTCAATGCTTCAAGATGCTTCAAGTCTCAAGCCGTATCCGATCGTATCAGGTGCTCTGCCACAGGTGCTCGAGACAAGCTTCAAACGCAGTCCCTGAGTCACTGTCATCAGCAGATCTGGCTGGCGCTGCAGCAGCTCCAGGAGTGTCGCCTTGACCAGCAGTGGTAACACAAATAGGGGCAGCAGTAAAGGGGGTAAACTTGCATCTCGCAAGACCGAAGGATCGATCTCAAACACCCCAGAAACGCCGGCCGAAAGCTGCACTCAAGTTCCTGCACGGCTGCCAAACTCCAGCCCGAAAGCTGCCTACACCCTTTCGGGCCTGCAGTGATGCCCAAGCAGGCTTGAAGGGCGGCCCATGACAATTGAGCCATTGCAGAGCACCTCCACAATTGCAGCTAACGCATAGCACTTCTGATCGATGGCGAGGACGCTTCGACAACTCTGGTGGGCTAGCATGACGCCTCCGCTTGCACAGAAGGTTGAAAAACCGAGGTTCCAGAAATTTGGCGCATCCGCCCATGAAGTTTTCCACGACTCCCAAAATCAACGAGAGCTCGGGCCTTGGCTGTTCGCTAGTGGCAGCCAGAGGAGATGCCAAAAGCGCAGCATGAGGGAGCTTGGTGTCGTGGATCACGAACCCACCATGGTTGAAGGTTTTGGAGGCTCAGTGGGGCCAAATACATCGGTGGGCCTTTAGGTCTCTCGGCGACTTCAAGATGCCAGGTTGTAGCCTCACTGTTTGTAGGGATGCAGAACACCTGCTGTCAAGCTGCAGGTCTGGCGTGCTGCCGCATCGAGACCCAACCAGTGCGAAACAATAACACCCTGATGATGAGTCCGAATCAATGTATGGATTTTCCTACCCATGGGAAGCTCCTACCACGATTACTGCAAACGCATAGATTTGCACATTGGCTCAGGTCTTTGGACTCACGTAACCGTTCGAACATGGCAGCTCGTGTGAAGACAAGGAAACACAGAGGATTATCGCCAGCAACATGAAACTTCTTGAACATGCTTGAGACGATCGGGTTTGGAGTACTGCACCATCTCTTCTGAGTTCAATTGGTGCCATGAAGATTTGCAGATGCACGCTTGCCCGGACTGACCTGCTGGTGCCTGCTATCATTTTATCTACCGACTTGCCTGACTGCAGATGCAGCACACACAGCTTCTTTTCCCCAACCCACCAGATCACAGGTACAAAGTTCGCTCGTCTTCTTCCTGCTCCTGCAACAAGGATTAGAGCTCGAAGTTGTGATTCTTAAGCTCAGCTGGCCATGAGAGAGACATGCCCTTGCGGTGTGTCAGGAAACCGCTTCGGTTCGCAGTTTCGGGGTTCGCGTGGCTCTGGCACAGTCCTGCAATGGGTTCTGGAGGACAATGCCAGCAATGAGATCTTCCTGGCGGTGGGCATAAAGCATCTCATGTCGCGAAGCCAACTAAGGAGTGCATCTGCATTTGAACGGCTCAGGTACTGTTGGAACGAAGACAAGTTCTGAACCGGCTCTTCAAAATCTGCAGCCGCCAGCCGCCGGCCTCCCCGTCCACAAGCTGCTCGTCGAGCCGGCAGAACTCGGGCCTGGGAAGGATCGGGCTCAGCTCAAGTTTTCGGATGCTGCGGTCCTGCGAAGGATGCTTTATATGACGGTGTCCATGGATGTACAGTGAAGAAGTGCGCCGAACTTGGCCGAACCTTCACGGCCGTTGGTTTCTTATGGAAGGCACATCGACACTCTGACTCCTGCCAGCCTTGCCAGCTGCAACCGACTCCAAGTCAAAAAGGTTTATTATGCTCTAACTCTAGTGCTACAGTAGCTGGCACGACGGCCAGGCCCTGCATGTGAGACCCAGGGTGAATTGCACCAGTCGATGATGAAGTAATTAAGCCGATGTCAAACATGAAGGCTTTCGAAAGTGATAGGATGGTTCGCCCGGTGCTCTGAGCCTTGGTCGCTGACAGATCTTGCAGGCTTCATGAAGGCAAAACGTACTGGAACGGGTTGGGTTCGGACAGGAATCAGACTGCTGCTTGTTCAGCACATTGCGCAAAATCGCTCAAATCCAAGACCCGGAAATCAGAGGAGCGCGGAGTGCGGGAGTCCGGGTCGAAAGGTTTTATCCCCAACCCCACAAAGCCAGAACCCTTGCAAGGCTTCCGGATGGTCTATAGAGTCTAGACTCGGAGGTCCGAGCGCAGAGTTCGGAAGAAAGCAGACTAGTAGTAGGTTGTGGCTCGCAATACAGATTTTTCGCCAAGTCTGCATAGACGGAACAAGGCATGTACAGTGCATTCGCCCGTCGATTTGGGACTTCAGGTGCTTCTTTTCGGAGGGCTCTCCGAGGGGCTCTCCAAGGCCCTGGCAAACCTTTGGCAGCATTGCCGTTGAATTCCGTCTTGCTCGGCCCCTGAGTGAACAGGAGCTCCCTCCCTCCTTCCCTCCTCCAGGGCTCTTGAAGAGATCCATCAACACGATACTTGCAGCATATTTGGTGGTGCAGCAAAGATCACAGCTATGAACCTATCATCATAAAGGCGATTGCCCGAACAGCAGTAGCACGTAGAAACCGCAACACGGAACATCCAAAAGCGCCTTGGTGACGCCGGCGGCTTATGTGTTTGGTGTTGCTGGGGACTTCCGGACCAACGGCTTGCTGCTTGAAGGCTGGGGTTTCAGAAATTCTTAACCGCCCTGTGAGCGCCTGCATTGCCTGCACATAGCACATTAGCAAAGGCAGTAGTCAGAAGCAAATCTCAATGACTAAGGTCGGGACCCGTCTGGCGGTGCCAACGAAGAGGGTGATGTTCAGCGTATACTCGCCAGTAGGACACCTGTCTACAGGTTGTCATATGCCAACATCCAGCGCTTCGAGCACTTTGCAGAACAGCTTTCAGCTCGATGCACACAACTTTAACGTCCCAAAGATCAGCCTGCAAGCCTTGCATCCAGGCAGAGGTCTTCACAAACCCTACTTCTGCGCCTGGGGCTTCAGAGCCCTCAGAAGCATGTGTGCCGGGATTAAGAACCCTGGCTCCTGCTTCGGAAACCGATTGATGATGTGATGTCGGCAGTTGGATTACAACTCGTATAGGGTCCGATCCCGCCTCACATAGAAGCCACAATACCCTTCTTTGCTCCCCTCCAGGCCGTTCGGATAGAACCTGACACGTGCTGACGCGGTGGCTAGCTGTAGCCCCAATGTGAGTCTGACCTTCAGCTCGGACGTATCTGCAACACTGAGGTTTCAAAACCAAAGTTGTCCGCCGAGCTAGATCTACGTGTGCATCCGGCGCAGCACACATTGCCGTACCGTCCTATTTGCATCTCGGTTGCGTCGCTCGCTTTTGCGCATGCGGTGGATTGATCTGCTTTTGGCGCTGGCTGGGAGTTTCGGTGGATTGCAGGCACGGCTAGCTTAAATCGTCTGCTTGCGAGGTCAAATATTTACGTGGGAAGGGCAGGGTGCATCAAGGCTAGCACGGCGTGCCTGCCAAGGCCGGCACGTGGAGAGGGATACCACGCAGGGGAAAGGGGGGATCAGAACGCTGACGCAGAAAACTAGCTTCGTCTCAAAACCGCAAGGAACACTGCAATAGTTTTGAGGTGAGTCAATTCTGGGTAATCCTGAAGCAGCTCACGAGGGGCCACATCGCCAAGACCCCAATGCTTATTCGTGGTTTCGAGGCCAGCTGAAGTGATCCAGACCAAGTCGGCATGCAAGGGTACAACGTAAAGCCCCAAACCCCAATTGATGACAGGTATGCTCCAGGTGCATGTCCCGCACACCGGCGGCGGAGAAGAGAGGGCTGCACATGCAGGCGCCCATAGGCAACTGGAGGCGGCTTTGGAGTTGGTGGGCTGTGGAACTTGCATTGGGTTTCAGGTTCTGTTCGATAACCGAGCCCCCCAACCAGTATCCAGCAATGTAGGATGTTTCGGTCTGTGATCACGACTGAGACTCCGAAGCTGGTCTTTCTCCACAGCTCTATACCCTTGCTGCCGTTGCTATAAGAAGCCAGCTGAATGGTAGTAGGCCACGTACCACTGCCTCCTGGATGCGCCGTCGGATGTTTGAAATCTTCCACTCAACCTCAGTTAGCAAGGCTGAGACCGCACGGGAGCATCAAAACCCGTTTCTGCTTTTCGAAACACTGGATCGGGCCTGATTGCGAGCTGCTGTAGGGATATTCAGGGTCGTCACCCACTCCAACATGGCTTGCCAGGGAGCTGATTCTCTATCGCGGTGGTGGAGCACTACAGCCTGATCAAAAAGGCTTCTGTGCTGGAGCTTCATGCATGCCCGCAGGAGGAGTTTGCCAAAAAGGGGTCACACCGCCAGTATTGCAACATGGTAGCTGCTGATGTCATGCAGCCGCTGACCCAAAACGATCAACTTGCGGCACTGTAAGCAAAGAAGGTAATCACCCTATGATACGAGAGTGCTCCAGAACAAATGGGTTGTGGGAGGCTTCTGCCTCTGGAAGCTACTTCCGATTAACCCATGTAGGAGAAGCTTATGCAGGGCTACTGTTCTGGCGGGAGAAAAGAAAAGCGCCTGAATTTCCTTACTGGCGCTTGGCTGGCTTGAATCCGGCTGCATGGCGCCCGCTGTTCATACAGCTGCATATCATAACCCCAAACACGAGACCGCACAGCTGTCTACCAGGCCGCAGTAAGTCACCGAGAGATTTCCTCTAACATCTTAGCCATCTTCGGCCATAGATTCCAAAACTTCGCTCTTTGCATTTCAGACGTCGGAGCATTCTGCAAGCGGCCTCGCGCTTCACAGCGTCCACGGGCCCTCTGTTGACGAGCCTGCACAGATACGCTGAGCAGCTCAAGGTTGACACGGAGCCTTGACGGTAAAGGACTGAACTTCCTGTAGTTCAAGGCTTCAAGGCGCGAAGATGGACAATCCCAACTCAAAATGGAAGAGACAAGGGTGTGACTATAGCTTGGACACAAGGTTCCAGAATCCCGTTTGACCGTCCCTATTCTTCCGGCCTCAGCCCTTGACCCAAGTCCTGCGTCCAGGTCACCTGCGGTGGATCTGGGAGGCTCGATCTTGAGCTGGCATTCCTATCTCTCCGCCCAATGGTGAAATAGGCAGTGCGAACCTGGAAGCTGTCGTTTCTAGCTAGTAGTTGCCTGGACCCATCACACCCGCCCACGCACCTCCAGAATCTCCAGGCCTGGCATCGAGGTTGCGTGTCGTGAGTGAATGAGACGGTGGGTCACCGCCTATGATCTGCCTTAGTTCTAGCGTGATTCTTCCACAGCATCAACCAAGGTCAAGTCTCGTCCCAGCAAGGCTCGCTACACATTACGTTGACATTCGTTGAAAGGACTGAGAACCTCCCCGCTTCTTGGGTGAGGCTTCGTTTGCTTCGGTGCTTTCCCGATTCGGGCACATGCTCATATACTCGCCGTGCCTTTGCGTGGGACTTGTGTTTCTCGAGCAAATGTCTCAAAATCTCGCAGCGTGCCTACACCTTCAGCTCGAACCTTCACATGACTTGCAGAACGCGTCTCTCCAGCAGTTCCCAAGTCTCGCCAGCCGCACCAATGACGAGGCAATCTTTGTCGTCAATCTGGGCCTGTATCGACAGGACAGAAACACCGGCAACCATTCACGAGCTCCCTCTTTCTCTTGTGCACGAACGAGGAGAGTAGGCTTTCTTCCTGCAGTGGGTTCCACGTGTCCGTCGCTGAGCTGTGTCCTGCAACAACAGAAACCTGGACAGCAAACCCGAACAATGCGAGGTAAGGACTAAGTTCTTGACAGATGCACATTACTTCGACACCGTTTGTCGGCAGTTGACACTTAGAGAGCAGGGGGAGGGCCCAGGCCGAAGGTTCTCCTGGCATGCTTTGCAGGGACATGACAGGCCTCGGGCAAGTCTCTTGGGATCAGGGCTTAGCCTCAAGGAAAGGACCATGATCTTGCTTTCGAATGCCGAAGCACCATGCTTTTTGCTCCGCCGGCGGTGGCCCCCTACTCCCAGGGACAGCTGGCTCGAAGGCAGCGTCTACTTCGTGCTTAAAGCTAGGTGTAATGGAAGCGAGTCACTGGACGAGGTGTTGCGTTGCTTGGGGTATGTAGCAGCTTACACCAGGCATTGAACTTCCTCGGAACTGCGCCGCCGTTTAGCTGGGCAGCCGCTGGCAAGCTCGCAATGACAATTGACGGGGCCAGACGTCTAGACATCAGTTTGGAGCTGGGATAAGCGGTTGGCACTTGAAGCTGCTGCTCCCGAGAGTCGAGTGGCAAGATACGGGTATTGCCAGCCCTGTAGGGCACGTTTTCATCTCAAAGTCTCAAACTCGGTGTGGAGTCGAGCGAGCGCGAGGCAAACTGCGCTTACTTACCCACAGTCACGCGTGGCTTCTGACTTCGGGTTGGCCAGGTAGACTGGGACCCTTAATGAGCTGGCTCATAGTCAGTAAAGCTTTAAGATCAGTTCGCTTGAAGCCAAGGCTTGCTCCTCACGACCACTCACGAGTCGCTGTGCTATTCACAGACTTCTGCCGTTGGTCTGCCGGGAGTGGACATTCAGCAGAAAATTCAAAGGCCGCGGCCCTGCCAACATCCCGAACACGTGATTCCCAGGACGGAACAGGTGGAACCAGCTGTCACAACGAGCCGAATCATGGCCCTCCCTTTGAAAATTGCAGCAGAAACTTGTAGTCGACCAAACGATCACGACATGGCTTCGGGTGGCTTCCGGAGTAGCATCGCAACTACGGAATCCTGTCTCAGAGATGGAGGCCTTTACACCGTACCCTACTGTAACTGCTATGAAACTCCTCCAGAAGCAGGGAAACCTTTCACCAGCGCTCTAACCATCCTTCAGCTTCATGATCTCCTCCAGATCGATATTGGAGCACTCAGACCTGACCGTAGACTCGCCGGCGAAGACTGACTGGGCAAGCTGGAACGGAGCTGCTTATATCTGTGTATCTTAGCCGAAGCCCGAACACGATACAGCAGCCCGTCGCTCTTCAGCAAATCAGGACCCGTGTCTTGGTCCCTTGCGCGAACGGATTGTCATCCTTCAGGAAGAGCATGCAGTGACACTCGTGCCTTTCGCGCATTGGAACCTGGGCGCAATGACATTGACCCTTAGATTAGATTGCAAACTTGGTGCGATTACTCAACATGCAATACAAAGCCCCCAGAGCTTGGCACACAACCCTGAATATGTTGGATTTGGCCAAAGACAAGCTAGCGGAACCCCAAGCAACGCACCGAACCCAAATCCATGTCCGGCGAGCACTGCTCCACAACTCAGCCACCCACGCATGGACAGTTCCAGTACCCATCCTTTACCTGGAGACAAAGCTGCTTGTCCGCTGGTATGATCTGCATTGCAGTCTGCATGTGCCAACCGGCCAACAAAAACTTCGTTGTCTTCAAAGCTGGCGATGCATGCAGCCGTCTATCGGATTCTCGCGGTAGCCCTTGGGGGTCGCAAGTTGCAATCAACAACTGCATGGAACAGGAAGACGAGGGAAAACAAGCCACAGCGAGCAGAATAAGTACTTTTGCCTGTTTCTGGACGTTGGGCAAAAGACTCTACGGCAGCCTCTGGGTTTAGCTGCCACCATGGAAGCAAGCCCCTGTTCCCTGAAGCGGGAGTGCAATGGCATCAGGTCACACACACACACACAATTTACCCGTGAACACCTAAGCTGCTAAGCTGGCCTGGCCTCTTTCTCCTTGTCCTCATAGTGCCGGCAAGGGCAGAGTGGAGCGCCCAAGGTCTCCTAAAAGTTTTCTGCCAAGGGTCAGGTTTCGCCAGAGTTCAACACTAGAGTCCCAATTCCGTTCTCAGTCGGTCTGTTGTCATGTCTTGCATCTCCTCCTCACACGAACGAATCTTCGTGAGCTACAATCCTAAGTCGAGTCTTGGCAAACGTTTCAGACCAGCAACCGGCACTTGCGATTTCCGCCCATGGTACAGGCTAATCTGCCGGCACCTACTCACGCCAGAATATTGGAGCAACACAAGATATCGCAAAATACCTCTCAGCATCTTTCTCAAACCTGCACGAAGGTTCTCTCGGGCTTCGGGCAAGCCAGTCATCCCAGTTGTGAGTACAAAGCTCGAATGCAGCTCCTTGTGCAAGGCCAGGCCGACAATGACCACGGCCGGAACACTCTTATCCTCACAGTACTTCGTGCCCGTGACCTGTAAGGGGAGCACACAACTGTGGAATCATTTGGTAGCCGTACAGAGGTGACCAGCAACAACCTACACGCAGTTTCAGAAGCTATGAGGAAAGAAGGCCAAGGCGGCCAAGGCTCGAACCTGTCAAGCTGAACCCGGACACAGTCATTTCGGTGCAACAAGTAGGCCGCTCGCTTCGAAGATCAAGCCCCAAAAAACAGGCCATGAGACGTACGAATGACTGCTGCAGTGACGGCGGTTGATCTGTCAACGGGTGCCTAAACTCTTCAGCCGCTCCAGCCTTGGCATACTGATTGGAGAACTTCATCATTGTCTCAATAGACTTCCTGAACCGGTGCTTAAGCTCACGAAAAAGCCACAGATGGGAGGAGGGCGCTTCGAGCGGTGGCGGGAGTTAAAGAGTAACCGCAAACCCGAGATCTAGAGTCAAACCCCCAAACCCCATGTGTCTCCAAACGAAGCAGAAAAACTGCCGTGCAAGGCACTCAGAGGGCTCCAGGTGCGGCTCCGCCTCCTGACAATTGCAGGGTCTGCGGGTGAAGCAAGCTGTAGCACGTAGCACAGCGGAATATGCGTGACAATTTACCGTGGGGCCATCGAGGACCACCAGATGGGGACGAGCTACGAGGTGCCAGCCAATGGTGGCAGAAGGCAGCTAGTCTTTTGTGGGATTCGGGCAAGTATACAGCTGAGCAACATTTGACGCAACATTTGGAGTTCTAGGTGGGGCAGCGCAGAAGCTAAACTGCACAATGCAATATCGCACCTTCTTGTTGAATACTCACTGTGCAGCATTTCGAGCGCAGAACTTGGTCAAGCACAAACCTGCCCTGTCTATGTATTGCGCATGCGCACATGCATATACAAACATGTCCTATATATATATATATATATGTATATATACATATACACATATGAACATGTACATGTACACCTATACATACATCCATACATACATCCATACATACATACATACATCCATCCATCCGTCCATCCATGCATGCATGCATACATGCATCCGTACATCCATACAGCCGTACAGCCGTGCATCCATCCATACATACATATATGCATGTACATACATATATGCATTTACATACATATATCCACATAAAATCATATACATACATAAACATACAGGCACATTCTTATATGCATATACACTTTTTCATATATACACATATACATACATACATACATACATACATACATACATACATACATACATACATACATACATATATACATATACATATATATATATATATGCACACATATACATATATATACATGTATACATATATACATAGATACATATATACATATATACATATATACATATATACATATATACATATATACATATATACGTATATACATATATACATATATCCATACATATATCCATACATATATACATACATACATATATACATATATACATATATACATGCATACATAAGTACGTACATACATAGATACATACATATATCTATATATACATATTTGTATACATATACATACATAAACAAATACATACATGCATGCATGCATGCATGCATATATACATATGTACATTTACATAGATATATATATATATATATATATATGTATATATATATATATATGCATATGCTCACCCCCCCCCCCCCCCCCCCCCCCTGGTTGACAGACCATGGCCTTGTGGCAGTGTACTCTTGGCAGGTGACTCGGCTGAGATGATATTGTATCTAAACACACTACACCCGACCATAATCTGTAACGTAGACAGACATTGCCTTTGCAAGTGAGTCGTGGTGCATGGTCTGTCATCGGATGGGTCACAAGCAGTCCTCCAGAGAATCAATTCCAAAATTTCTTTAAAAAAAATCCAAAATGTTAAAAAAAATCAAGTTTTCCAAAAAAAAGTCCACAAATCCAAAATTTCCGAAATTTACCAAAAAAAAAATCAAACATTTTCCAAACCCCCCAGACCCAGTGGATAGGATGTTTCCAAAACATAAGGGCGAACTTTTTGGAAATTTGGAATTGTTGGAAGGTTTGGAATTTTTGGAAATTTTGCAAGGTTTGGAATCTTTGGAAATTCTGGCCTTTTTTGGAAATTTTGGAAATCCGAAAAGGTAGGTGCGAGAATCTTGCAGTTTGTTGAATTGATTTTGGGAGGGCTGATTGTCACCCATCCGATGACAGACCACGCACTACGACTCACTTGAAAGGTCATGGTCTGTCAACGGGGGGGGCGACCACATATATGTACCTACGTCTACAAAGGATCTTGGTTCAGAGTTGTCCACACAAACAATGGCTGCCTGCATTGGGGATCTCCAACTACAGAGCTCTATTCAGCCGGCTTCTGGGTCAAAACTTGCATTGGAATCCATCAGTCGTACATAAACCGTTGTAGA